TACACTCACTCTGTAGAACACACAAACTACACTCACTCTGTAGATCACACAAACTACACTCACTCTGTAGAACACCCAAACTACACTCACTCTGTAGAACACACAAACTACACTCACTCTGTAGAACACACAAACTACACTCACTCTGTAGATCACACAAACTACACTCACTCTGTAGATCACACAAACTACACTCACTCTGTAGATCACACAAACTACACTCACTCTGGAGATCACACAAACTACACTCACTCTGTAGATCACACAAACTACACTCACTCTGTAGAACACACAAACTACACTCACTCTGTAGAACACACAAACTACACTCACTCTGTAGAACACACAAACTCCACTCACTCTCTCTGTAGAACAGGGGGAGATCATACAAACTCCACTCACTCTGTAGAACAGGGGGAGATCACACATACTCCACTCACTCTGTAGAACAGGGAGAGATCATAAAAACTCCACTCACTCACTCTGTAGAACAGGGGGAGATCACACAAACTCCACTCACTCACTCTTTAGAACAGGGGGAGATCATACAAACTCCACTCACACACTCTGTAGAACAGGGGGAGATCACACAAACTCCACTCACTCTGTAGAACAGGGGCAGATCATACAAACTCCACTCACTCTGTAGAACATGGGTACAACATACAAACTCCACTCTCTCTGTAGAATATGGGTAGAACATACAAACTCCACTCTCTCTGTAGAACAGGGGTAGAACATACAAACTCCACTCACTCTGTAGAACATGGGTACAACATACAAACTCCACTCACTCTGTAGAACATGGGTGCAACATACAAACTCCACTCACTCTGTAGAACATGGGTACAACATACAAACTCCACTCACTCTGTAGAACATGGGTACAACATACAAACTCCACTCACTCTGTAGAACATGGGTACAACATACAAACTCCACTCACTCTGTAGGACATGGGTACAACATACACACTCCACTCTCTCTGTAGAACATGGGTGCAACATACAAACTCCACTCACTCTGTAGAACATGGGTACAACATACAAACTCCACTCACTCTGTAGGACATGGGTACAACATACAAACTCCACTCACTCTGTAGGACATGGGTACAACATACAAACTCCACTCTCTCTGTAGAACATGGGTACAACATACAAACTCCACTCACTCTGTAGAACATGGGTACAACATACAAACTCCACTCACTCTGTAGAACATGGGTACAACATACAAACTCCACTCACTCTGTAGAACATGGGTACAACATAAAACTCCACTCACTCTGTAGGACATGGGTACAACATACAAACTCCACTCACTCTGTAGAACATGGGTACAACATACAAACTCCACTCACTCTGTAGGACATGGGTACAACATACAAACTCCACTCACTCTGTAGGACATGGGTACAACATAAAACTCCACTCACTCTGTAGGACATGGGTACAACATACAAACTCCACTCACTCTGTAGGACATGGGTACAACATAAAACTCCACTCACTCTGTAGAACATGGGTAGAACATACAAACTCCACTCACTCTGTAGGACATGGGTACAACATACAAACTCCACTCACTCTGTAGGACATGGGTACAACATACAAACTCCACTCACTCTGTAGGACATGGGTACAACATAAAACTCCACTCACTCTGTAGGACATGGGTACAACATACAAACTCCACTCACTCTGTAGAACATGGGTACAACATACAAACTCCACTCACTCTGTAGGACATGGGTACAACATACAAACTCCACTCTCTCTGTAGAACATGGGTACAACATACAAACTCCACTCACTCTGTAGGACATGGGTACAACATACAAACTCCACTCACTCTGTAGAACATGGGTACAACATACAAACTCCACTCACTCTGTAGGACATGGGTACAACATACACACTCCACTCTCTCTGTAGAACATGGGTGCAACATACAAACTCCACTCACTCTGTAGAACATGGGTACAACATACAAACTCCACTCACTCTGTAGGACATGGGTACAACATACAAACTCCACTCACTCTGTAGGACATGGGTACAACATACAAACTCCACTCTCTCTGTAGAACATGGGTACAACATACAAACTCCACTCACTCTGTAGAACATGGGTACAACATACAAACTCCACTCACTCTGTAGAACATGGGTACAACATACAAACTCCACTCACTCTGTAGAACATGGGTACAACATACAAACTCCACTCACTCTGTAGAACATGGGTAGAACATACAAACTCCACTCTCTCTGTAGAACATGGGTACAACATACAAACTCCACTCACTCTGTAGAACATGGGTGCAACATACAAACTCCACTCACTCTGTAGAACATGGGTACAACATACAAACTCCACTCACTCTGTAGAACATGGGTACAACATACAAACTCCACTCACTCTGTAGAACATGGGTACAACATACAAACTCCACTCACTCTGTAGGACATGGGTACAACATACACACTCCACTCTCTCTGTAGAACATGGGTGCAACATACAAACTCCACTCACTCTGTAGAACATGGGTACAACATACAAACTCCACTCACTCTGTAGGACATGGGTACAACATACAAACTCCACTCACTCTGTAGGACATGGGTACAACATACAAACTCCACTCACTCTGTAGAACATGGGTACAACATACAAACTCCACTCACTCTGTAGAACATGGGTACAACATAAAACTCCACTCACTCTGTAGGACATGGGTACAACATACAAACTCCACTCACTCTGTAGAACATGGGTACAACATACAAACTCCACTCACTCTGTAGGACATGGGTACAACATACAAACTCCACTCACTCTGTAGGACATGGGTACAACATAAAACTCCACTCACTCTGTAGAACATGGGTACAACATACAAACTCAACAGCGAAAGGCGCCTGTGTTGGGAACTGGACCCAGACACCCCAGTCAACTCTGGAGCGGTGCGTAGGTGGGTGGGTAGGTAGGTGGGTAGGTTGGTGGGTAGGTAGGTGCGTAGGTTGGTGGGTAGGTAGGTGGGTAGGTTGGTGGGTAGGTAGGTGGGTGGTTGGGTAGGTGGGTTGGTAGGTAGGTGGGTGGTTGGGTAGGTGGGTAGGTAGGTGGGTAGGTGGGTGTTTGGGTAGGTAGGTGGGTAGGTGTTTAGGTAGGTGGGTGTGTAGGTAGATGTGTAGGTAGGTGGGAAGGTGTGTAGGTAGGTGGGTAGGTATGTGTGTAGGTAGGTGGGTAGGTAGGTGGGTAGGTATGTGTGTAGGCAGGTGGGTAGGTAGGTGGGTGTGTAGGTAGGTGTGTTGGTAGGTGGGTAGGTAGGTGAGTGTGTAGGTAGGTGTGTAGGTAGGTGGGTAGGTGTGTGGGTAGGTGGGTAGGTGGGTAGGTAGGTGGGTGTGTAGGTAGGTGTGTAGGTAGGTGGGTAGGTGTGTGGGTAGGTGGGTAGGCGGGTAGGTAGGTGTGTGTGTAGGTAGGCAGGTGTGTAGGTAGGTAGGTGTGTGTGTAGGTAGGCAGGTGTGTGTGTAGGTAGGTAGGTGTGTGTGTAGGTAGGCAGGTGTGTAGGTAGGTAGGTAGGTGTGTGGGTAGGTGGGTAGGTGTGTGGGTAGGTGGGTAGGCGGGTAGGCAGATGTGTGTGTAGGTAGGTAGGTGTATGTGTGTGTGTGTAGGTAGGTAGGTGTGTGTGTAGGTAGGTGTGTGTGTAGGTAGGTGTGTGTGTAGGTAGGTAGGTGTGTGTGTGTAGGTAGGTGTGTGTGTGTAGGTAGGTACGTGTGTAGGTAGGTGTGTGTGTGTAGGTAGGTGTGTGTGTAGGTAGGTGTGTGTGTGTTTCTAAGCCATGAGCTCAAGAGTCGAGGCTCTCCCTTTCACCGATCACTGAACCCGTGAGCGCCACGATCCAGGGGGGGGGTCCCGGGGTCCTGAGGGAGGGGGTCCAGGGGGGGGTCTCGGGGTCCTGCGGGGCGGGGGGGGTCCAGGGGGGGGGGGTCCCGGGGTCCTGCGGGGGGGGGGGGGGGTCCAGGGGGGGGGTCCCGGGGGTCCTGCGGGGGGGGGGGTCCAGGGGGGGTTCCGGGGTCCTGCGGGGGGGGGTCCAGGGGGGGGGTCCTGCGGGAGGGGGTCCAGGGGGGGTCCCGGGGTCCTGCGGGGGGGGGGGGTCCAGGGGGGGTCCCGGGGTCCTGCGGGGGGGGGGGTCCAGGGGGGGTCCCGGGTCCTGCGGGGGGGGGGGGCTGCTGAGGCTTCGTGCCCCCCATCTAACACCGCGAGGTCACGGAGGGGTCAGCGCTGCTGGAGGGAGGGAGGGAGGCGAAGCTTTCGAGTTGCCAAGTGAGAGTTGGAGTCAGGGTTAGGGCTGAGGTGCCTTTGAGCTCGTGCAGTTATTTATTTATTTTGCACGCCATTGCCTTTAAGGGGATTAACGGGGGGGGGGTGAAAAGGGGGGGAGGAAGAAGGCTGGGACTGGGGGGGGGGGGGTGGTTGTATCGTCAACACCGGCGACGATTATCTGAACCGGTCCTGGGGCTCCCCCTAGGTCGACTCAGCCTCAAACGTGCGGCTGTTGCGATGCGATGTGTACACGTCACTACTGGGGAGACAAAGGCGGCCTGGGTGTGGTGCCGGTCACCCACCCACTCCCTCGTGTGCCGTGTCGGCTTTCATAGGCACCGGTTCTCGGTACCACGGTGGCTAGGAGATGTTAACTACCTCGCCTGGTGTGCAGGAGGTCGTGGGTTCTACCCCGACCCTGACGCCTGCTGCTGCTGTATATTTGGAGTTTGCGTCTCTCTCTCTCTCCGTGGTCGCGTGGATTTTTCTCCAGGATCCTCCGGGTTTTCCCCTCCCACATTGAGAATCAACATCATCACCACGCATTCAAAGTTATTTAGCTGCTGGCTCTATATTTCCACGTGGTGATGATGATGTTCATGATAAGCCGCCACTTGATCGAGCAGCTGTCATCAGTGGTGGCCAGGTCGCTTCATAAAAAACACAGATACGTAGCTCAGTGGGGCCTTACCTGGCTAAAACAATTTAAAATGTTCAAAGTTAAATAGTTTATAGCTGCCCCGTAAAGTAATGCTGAGCACGGTAGGATACGACGCTCTGTGCGTGATCCACCAACCCCACCTCACCACGCCCGTGTCTCCTTCCTCCACAGAGTCATGTCGGATGAGTTGGGGCCAGGGCCTCGCTCCCCCGCGTCTCCCCCAGAGCCCCCCCCTCCCGCCTCGCCCGGCCACAGTCCCGCCCCCACGCCACAGCAGGTGACACTCCTCACCAGCTCGCTCACCAACTCGCTCACCAACTCACCCACTCGCTCCCCAACTCGCTCACCAACTCGCCCGCTCACTCACCAGCTCACTCATCAACTCGCTCACCAACTCACCCGCTCGCTCCCCAACTCGCCCGCTCACTCACCAGCTCGCTCACCAACTCGCTCACCAACTCAACCAACTAGCTCCCCAACTCACTCCCCAACTCACCAACTCACTCACCAACTCACAAACTCTCTCACCAACTCGCCCACTTACTCACCAGCTCGCTCACCAACTCACCAACTAGCTCACCAACTCACCCGATCACTCACCAACTTACCCACTTGCTCACCAACTTGCTCACCAAATCACCCACTCACTGACCAACTCGCTCCCCAACTCGTCCGCTCGCTCAACAACTCGCTCACCAACTCACCCGATCACTCACCAACTCACCCACTCGCTCACCAACTTGCTCACCAAATCACCCACTCACTGACCAACTCGCTCCCCAACTCGCCCGCTCGCTCAACAACTCGCTCACCAACTCACCCGATCACTCACCAACTCACCCACTCGCTCACCAACTTGCTCACCAAATCATCCACTCACTGACCAACTCGCTCACCAACTGACTCACTCACCCACTCACGAACACACAGAATTGCTCACCGAATCTCCGATGCACTCTCATAGTCAGCCATCCACGAAACCACCCACGCATCCACTGACTCACCAACTCACTCAGCCTGATCCCTGTCTCACCAGCTCAGTCACTCACCCATCCACGAACTGTCAACACTTACTCACCTATTCACTCGCTCACTCACCTAACCAACTTACCCATTCACCCACCCACTGAACTTACCAAAGTGATCACCACTCACCCAATCACTCACTCACCCACCCATCTACTAACTCAACAGGTGAACTCACTCGCCAAAGGACTCACAGGCTGTGTGAAGGTGCAGTGGGGAGCGGTGGGGCAGCGGTTAGCAGCGCACTGCACAGCGAGCCCGGCGAGCCCGAGTTCGATTCCCGCTCACGACCAATAGCAGTGGCGAACATTTTCACCGGTCCTGAGCCTCCCCTAGGTCGACTCTGCATCAAATGAGTACCTGGTGCGGTGGTGCAGTAAACATCGCCACTGGGGAGACAAAGGCGGCCGGGCGTGGTGCTGACCACCCACCCCCTCGTGTGCCGTGCCAGCCTTCACAGGTGCTGCTCGCTCACAGCACTTGCCCCAACACTCTGTGAAGGCTACACGGGGGGTCTTTGTATTTTTTATTGTATAGCGTGGGGAGCGGTAGCGGTCAGCGTGCTGCACTGCTCACCGAACGAATCCGGCCACCGGAGTTCGATTCCCGCTCACGACCAACATCTGAACCGGTCGTGGGCCTCCCCTACGTCGACTCAGCCTCAAATGAGTACCCGGCGCTCTGCGTGAACATCGAGAGGACGAGGGGCGGCCGGGCGTGGCGCTGGCCACCCCACCACGTCGCGTGGACGTGCCGGCCCGCTGCTGCCGCTCGCTCCTCGCGGCACTTGCCCCAGCGGTGTGTCGAGGCTACCTGGGGGGTCTTTGTCTGTGCAGGGCGGGCTGGAGGGGGCGCGCGTCCACCTGCACGAGAAGGAGCTGTGGGCGCGCTTCCACGACGCAGGCACCGAGATGATCATCACCAAGGCGGGCCGGTGAGAGAAACGCGACGCGCAAGGCACAACGCACACTACACAATGTACACACAACACACACAACACACACACAACATACACAACATACACCACACACACAACACACACAACATACACAACATACACCACACACACAACACACACACAACACACACACAACACACACAACACACACAACACACACCACGCACACAACATACACAACACACACACAACATACACCACACACACAACATACACCACACACACAACATACACAACACACACAACACACACACAACATACACAACACACACACAACATACACAACATACACAACATACACCACACACACAACACACACCACACACACAACACACACAACATACACAACATACACCACACACACAACACACACAACACACACAACATACACAACATACACCACACACACAACACACACAACAGACACACAACATACACCACGCACACCACACACACAACATACACCACACACAACACACACACAACATACACCACACACACAACACACACCACACAACACACACCACACACACAACATACACCACACACACAACACACACAACATACACCACACACACAACATACACCACGCACACAACACACACAACACACACACAACATACACCACATACACAACACACACAACACACACAACACACACAACATACATCACACACAACACACACAACATACACAACATACACCACACACACAACATACACCACACACACAACACACACAACATACACAACATACACCACACACACAACACACACAACATACACCACGCACACCACACACACAACATACACCACACACACAATGCACACAACACACACCACACACACCATACACACAACACACACACAACACACACACACCATACACACAACACACACACAACACACACACAACACACACACCACACACACCACACACACACCATACACACAACACACACCACACATACCACACACACAACACACACACACCACACACACCATACACACAACACACACAACACACACAACACACACACAACACACACAACACACACAACACACACAACACACACAACACACACAACACACACACAACATACACAACATACAACACACACACAACATACACACACCATACACACACCACACACACAACACACACCACACACACAACACACACAACACACACCACACACACAACACACACAACACACACAACACACACACAACACACACACACCACACACACAACACACACCACACACACAACACACACACAACACACACACAACACACACCACACACAACACACAACACACACACCACACACACAACACACACAACATACACAACACACACACAACATACACAACATACAACACACACACAACATACACACACCATACACACACCACACACACAACACACACCACACACACAACACACACAACACACACCACACACACAACACACACAACACACACAACACACACACAACACACACAACACACACAACACACACCACTACAACACACACCACTACAACACACACAACACACACCACACACAACACACACAACACACACACAACACACACACACAACACACACCACACACACCACACACACACCACACACACACACAACACACACAACACATACACAACATACACACAACACACACACAACATACACACACACACAACATACACCACACACACACAACACACACCACACACAACAAACACACAACACACACACAACACACACAACACACAACAAACACACAACACACACACAACACACACACACACACACACACACACACAACACACACCACACACACAACACACACAACACACACACAACACACACACACACCACACACACAACATACACCATACACACAACACACACACAACACACACACACCACACACACAACACACACACACCACACACACAACACACACAACACACCCCCGCGCGCACGCCGCGGTGGACGCGTCCACTGCGGGGTGCGGCTCCTCTCCCTCGACACGGACTCGTCCTCGCTGAGCGAGACGACCACTTGTGGTGTGTGACGGGAGACCACGTGGTGTGTGACGGGAGACCACGTGGTGTGTGACGGGAGACCACTTGTGGTGTGTGACGGGAGAACACGTGGTGTGTGACGGGAGACCACTTGTGGTGTGTGTGACGGGAGACCACTTTGTGTGTGACGGGAGACCACTTTGTGTGTGACGAGAGATCACTTTGTGTGTGACAGGAGACCACTTGTGGTGTGTGACGGGAGACCACTTTGTGTGTGACGGGAGACTACTTGTGGTGTGTGACGGGAGACCACTTTGTGTGTGACAGGAGACCACTTGTGGTGTGTGACGAGAGACCACTTGTGGTGTGTGACAGGAGACCACTTGTGGTGTGTGACGGGAGACCACTTTGTGTGTGACGGGAGACTACTTGTGGTGTGTGACGGGAGACCACTTTGTGTGTGACGGGAGACCACTTTGTGTGTGACGGGAGACCACTTTGTGTGTGGCAGGAGACAACTTGTGGGGTGTGACGGGAGACCACTTTGTGTGTGACAGGAGACCACGTGGTGTGTGACAGGAGACCACTTGTGGTGTGTGACGGGAGACCACTTGTGGTGTGTGACGGGAGACCACTTTGTGTGTGACAGGAGACCACTTGTGGTGTGTGTGACGGGAGACCACTTGTGTGTGACGGGAGACTACTTTGTGTGTGACGGGAGACCACTTTGTGTGTGACGGGAGACCACTTTGTGTGTGACGGGCTACCACTTTGTGTGTGACAGGAGACCACTTGTGGTGTGTGACGGGAGACCACTTGTGGTGTGTGACGGGAGACCACTTGTGGTGTGTGACGGGAGACCACTTGTGGTGTGTGACGGGAGACCACTTTGTGTGTGACAGGAGACCACTTGTGGTGTGTGTGACGGGAGACCACTTGTGTGTGACGGGAGACTACTTTGTGTGTGACGGGAGACCACTTTGTGTGTGACGGGAGACCACTTTGTGTGTGACGGGAGACTACTTGTGGTGTGTGACGGGAGACTACTTTGTGTGTGACGGGAGACCACTTTGTGTGTGACGGGAGACCACTTTGTGTGTGACGGGAGACTACTTGTGGTGTGTGACGGGAGACTACTTTGTGTGTGACGGGAGACCACTTTGTGTGTGACGGGAGACTACTTTGTGGTGTGTGACGGGAGACCACTTGTGGTGTGTGACGGGAGACCACTTGTGGTGTGTGACGGGAGACTACTTTGTGTGTGACGGGAGACCACTTTGTGTGTGACGGGAGACCACTTGTGGTGTGTGAGGGGAGACCACTTGTGGTGTGTGACGGGAGACCACTTGTGGTGTGTGACGGGAGACCACTTTGTGTGTGACAGGAGACAACTTGTGGAGTGTGTGACGGGAGACCACTTTGTGTGTGACGGGAGACCACTTGTGGTGTGTGACGGGAGACAACTTTGTGTGTGAGGGGAGACCACTTTGTGTGTGACGGGAGACCACGTGGTGTGACGGGAGACCACTTGTGGTGTGTGTGACGGGAGACCACTTGTGGTGTGTGTGACGGGAGACCACGTGGTGTGACGGGAGACCACTTGTGGTGTGTGACGGGAGACCACTTGTGGTGTGTGACGGGAGACCACTTGTGGTGTGTGTGACAGGAGACCACTTTGTGTGTGACGGGAGACCACGTGGTGTGACGGGAGACCACTTGTGGTGTGTGACGGGAGACCACTTGTGGTGTGTGACGGGAGACCACTTGTGGTGTGTGTGACGGGAGACCACTTTGTGTGTGACAGGAGACCACGTGTGGTGTGTGACGGGAGACCACTTGTGGTGTGTGTGACAGGAGACTACTTTGTGTGTGACGGGAGACCACTTTGTGTGTGACGGGAGACTACTTGTGGTGTGTGACGGGAGACCACTTGTGGTGTGTGTGACGGGAGACCACTTTGTGTGTGACGGGAGACCACTTTGTGTGTGACGGGAGACTACTTGTGGTGTGTGACGGGAGACCACTTGTGGTGTGTGACGGGAGACCACTTTGTGTGTGACGGGAGACTACTTGTGGTGTGTGACGGGAGACCACTTTGTGTGTGACGGGAGACCACTTGTGGTGTGTGACAGGAGACCACTTGTGGTGTGTAACGGGAGACCACTTTGTGTGTGACGGGAGACCACTTTGTGTGTGACGGGAGACTACTTTGTGTGTGACGGGAGACCACTTGTGGTGTGTGACGGGAGATCACTTGTGGTGTGTGACGGGAGACCACTTTGTGTGTGACAGGAGACCACTTGTGGTGTGTGACGGGAGACCACTTGTGGTGTGTGACAGGAGACCACTTGTGGTGTGTGACGGGAGACAACTTGTGGTGTGACGGGAGACCACTTGTGGTGTGTGACGGGAGACCACTTGTGGTGTGTGACGGGAGACCACTTTGTGTGTGACGGGAGACCACTTGTGGTGTGTGACGGGAGACCACTTGTGGTGTGTGACGGGAGACCACTTGTGGTGTGTTACGGGAGACCACTTGTGGTGTGTGACGGGAGACCACTTGTGGTGTGTGACGGGAGACCACTTGTGGTGTGTGACAGGAGACCACTTGTGGTGTGTGACGGGAGACCACTTTGTGTGTGACGGGAGACCACTTCGCGTTCTCCCCTCGACGCCTTCCCTCCCTCCCCCCCGTGCTAAGAGCCGCGCTACGTTTCAGCCCCCCCCCGCCCGTCCCCCCCCCCAACGAAGTTTTCCGTTCCCGAACAACTTTTTTCATTTGTTTGTTGACGTGGTGAGAAATGCTAAAAAGTGTAATAATGTTCATTTACGGGGGAGAAAACATCGAGCGTGACACTCGCCTCACGACGTCACCCCGCGCTGCCGTGACGAGTCATCGCTAACGACCAACGTCACTATCTCTGGGTCCTCGTGTGTCCCCGTGCCCCCGTGTCCCCGTGCCCCCGTGCCCCCGTGCCCCCGTGCCCCCATGCCCCCGTGTCCCCATGCCCCCGTGTCCCCATGCCCCGTGCCCCCGTGTCCCCATGCCCCCGTGTCCCCATGCCCCCGTTACCCCGTGCCCCCATGCCCCCGTTACTCCGTGTCCCCATGCCCCCGTGTCCCCATGCCCCCGTGCCCCCATGCCCCCGTGTCCCCATATTCCATGTCCCCCGTGTCCGCACGCAGCCGCATGTTCCCGGGCCTGAAGGTGCGTGTGTCGGGCCTGTCCCCACGCACCAAGTACATCCTGCTCATGGACGTGTGTCCCGCCGACGGCCACCGATACAAGTTCGCAGACAACAAGTGGTGGGTGGGGCTAGTAGGTGGGGGGGGGCGTGGTTAGAGGGCGGGGCCAGCAGGTAGTGGGCGGGCCCGGTGGGTGGGACTAATGTGCAGGCGTGTTGGGCTAGTGGGCGGAGCTAGTGGGCGAGGGCGGGGTTGGAATGCAGGTGGGCGGGGTTAGCGTACGTCGTCGGTTTTTCTTCCGATTCCGTTCTGTACGTTTGTGTCGTTTGAACTTTTAGCCGATTCCGAACGGAATCGGAGGTAGCAGGCCACGCGAGAGGGCGCGTGGCACCGCGTGGCACCGCGCGTGGCACCGCGCGTGGCACCGCGTGGCACCGCGTGGCAACGTGTCGGCGACGGCTACCACAGAGTGGCGGCGGTCATGTCTCGAGGGTTCTCTGCTGTGAGCGCAGCGTCTTTAAAAACAGCGGCGCCGCTGCCACGCCTCTCTCAATGAGATGAACGCCGAACCCGCGGTCGCGCGTCCCGAGATTCTGCGGTGGGCCAGTAAACCCCTGCAACCTGCCGGCGTCTCGGAACGCGGACAGCCGTTCATCGGCCTGCGGCGGGCGGCGGGGGGGGGGGTTTACGGCACGGCAATTCTACTGGCGCACGTGATCTGACCGGGCAAAATCAAAGTCTTTGGATCCGTAACATCCGGTGGCAAAAGCCCCGCTGCCGCCGATGCCGCTGCTGTCGCTGACCCGTGGCACCCGGTGTGTGCGTGTGGGGCGGGGGTGGCGGGCCCAGGAGCGTGAGCGGCAAGGCCGAGGCGGCGATGCCCGGCCGCCTCTACGTGCACCCCGACTCGCCCGCACCGGGCGCCCACTGGATGCGCCAGCTCGTCTCCTTCCAGAAGCTGAAGCTCACCAACAACCACCTGGACCCGTTCGGACACGTACGGCACACACGCACACCACTCCGTACGGCACACACACACACACCACTCCGTACGGCACACACACATACACCACTCCGTACAGCACACACGCACACACACACACACACCACTCCGTACGGCACACACGCACACACACACACACACCACTCCGTACGGCACACACGCACACACGCACACACACACACACCACTCCGTACGGCACACACGCACACACACACACCACTCTGTACGGCACACACGCACACACACACACACACACCACTCCGTACGGCACACACGCACACACACACACCACTCCGTACGGCACACACGCACACACACACCACTCCGTACGGCACACACGCACACCACTCCGTACGGCACACACACACACACCGTACAGCACACACGCACACACACACACACCACTCCGTACGGCACACACGCACACACACACCACTCCGTACGGCACACACGCACACACATACACCACTCCGTACGGCACACACGCACACACGCACACACACACACACACACCACTCCGTACGGCACACACGCACACACACACACCACTCCGTACGGCACACACGCACACACACACACCACTCCGTACGGCACACACGCACACCACTCCGTACGGCACACACACACACACCGTACAGCACACACGCACACACACACACACCACTCCGTACGCACACACGCACACACACACCACTCCGTACGGCACACACGCACACACATACACCACTCCGTACGGCACACACGCACACACGCACACACACACACACACACCACTCCGTACGGCACACACGCACACACACACACCACTCCGTACGGCACGCACACGCACACACCGCCACTACCACATCACCGCTCCGGCTCCTCCTCTCCCCCACCTCCCCACCTCCTCTCCCACCTCCTCGTCCCCCGCCTCCTCCTCTCTCCTTATCTGGTTGACTTGTTTACCCTGTACCTGATTGGTTGATCTGCCCACTGAGTACTTGAATGGATAGTTTGTCATTCATGTGATTGGTTGCTGCTTGTTCACATGGTGGCTGATTTGTCATTGGTTGAGAGTTAGTAACTGGTTGGTTGACGTTAAAACTGATTAATAGTCGACGTGCTGCCTATGATCGGTTGATAGTCGATAGATTGCTTGAATGTGATTGGTTGGCAGTTGGTGTACTGCTTGTGATTGGTTGATAGTCGGCGTGCTGCTTGTGATTGGTTGATAATCGACGTGCTGCTTGTGATTGGTTGTCAGTCGGCGTGCTGCTTGTGATTGGTTGTCAGTCGACGTGCTGCTTGTGATTGGTTGACAAGCCGACGTGCTGCTTGTGATTGGTTGACAAGCCGACGTGCTACTTGTGATTGGTTGTCAGTCGGCGTGCTGCTTGTGATTGGTTGACAAGCCGACGTGCTGCTTGTGATTGGTTGGCAGTCGACGTGCTGCTTGTGTTTGATTGACAAGTCGGCCTGCTGCTCGTGATTGGTTGACAAGCCGGCGTGCGTGCCGATTGGCTGATTGCGCGGCACAGATCATCCTCAACTCGATGCACAAGTACCAGCCGCGGCTGCACGTGGTGCGTGCCGACGAGGCCAACGGCTTCGGCTCGGGCCGCACGGCCTTCAGCACGCACGCCTTCCCCGAGACGGCCTTCATCGCCGTCACCTCCTACCAGAACCACCGCGTACGCGCCCGCTCCTCACTCGCTCCTCACTCACTCACCCAGCATTCACTCGCTCACTCACTCGCTCACTCACTCGCTCCTCACTCACTCACCCACCACGCGCCCGCTCCTCACTCACTTACTCTTCACTCACCCACGACTCACTCGCTCCTCACTCACTCACCCACCACTCACTCCCTCCTCACGCACTCACTCCTCACTCACTCCTCACTCACTCCTCACTCACTCACCACTCACTCGCTCCTCACTCACTCCTCACTCACCCACCTATCGCTCGTTCCTCACTCACTCGCTCCTCACTCACTCACCCACCACTCACTCGCTCCTCACTCACTCACCCACCACTCACTCGCTCCTCACTCACTCACCCACCACTCACTCACTCTTCACTCACTCGCTCCTCACTCACTCACTCACCCACCACTCACTCACTCCTCACTCACTCACTCGCTCCTCACTCACTCACCCACCACTCACTTACTCCTCACTCACTCACCCACCACTCACTCGCTCCTCACTCGCTCCTCACTCACTCCTCACCCACTCACTCGTAGTCCAGTCTCTCTCCTACGTGTTAAACTGACGTCATCACCGTCACCATCGCCATCACCGTCACCATCTTCACCGCACGCTAATATCATCACAGCACCTACCAGGACATCACCCTCTGCACCCCCCTCCCACACACAACACAAAGGGCATGGACAAGTGCAGGAGTGAAGCCGTAGGAATGGCATCGTCAAGTTCCATGCCAGTGCGTGGGGGGGGGGGTGCGTGGGGGGGGGTGCGTGGGGGGGGGGTGCGTGGGGGGGGGGTGGTGCGAGAGGGGGGTGCGTGGAGGGGGGGGGTGCGAGGGAGGGGTGCGTGGGGGGGGTGGTGCGAGGAGGGGCGGGAGGTGCCCCAGGTGCCTCCCCTCCCCGCCACGCTCTCCTCTCTCTCCCTCTCTGTGCGTGTGTGAGCGGCGAGTTATGTCGAGCGCTGTGTACGCACGCGAGCTGCTGGCTTTTTACTGCGGAGATTATGCAGAGGTGGGGTTGGGGGTCGGTTTCCTCCTCCTCCTCCTGCGCTGCTGCTGCTGCTGTTGACGGGCTACCGTTGCCCATTGAAGGGGGCTGGAGGTTGCCCCCTTCGCTTTATGAGGGCACGAGGGTCTGGCGAGTATCATGGCCCTGAGACGATCCTCCCACTCCTCCGGCGTCAGTATTTTATTTGTTCAATGGGGGGTTTTTTTTTCAGCCAGCTTGGCTCAGGTTTGGGTCAAATGCGCCGTTACGCAAGGGGCAGCGCGGTGGCTATGAGATGTTGACTACCTCTCCTGGTGTGCAGGAGGTCGTGGGTTCGATCCCGACCCTGACGCCTGCTGCTGTATATTTGGAGTCTGCGTTTCTCTCTCTGATCATCATCACGGTGGCTATGAGATGTTGACTACCTCGCCTGGTGTGCAGGAGGTCGTGGGTTCGATCCCGACCCTGACGCCTGCTGCTGTATATTTGGAGTTTGCGTCTCTCATCATCATCACGGTGGCTAGGAGATGTTGACTACCTCGCCTGGTGTGCAGGAGGTCGTGGGTTCGATCCCGACCCTGACGCCTGCTGCTGTATATTTGGAGTCTGCGTTTCTCTCTCTGATCATCATCACGGTGGCTATGAGATGTTGACTACCTCGCCTGGTGTGCAGGAGGTCGTGGGTTCGATCCCGACCCTGACGCCTGCTGCTGTATATTTGGAGTTTGCGTCTCTCATCATCATCACGGTGGCTAGGAGATGTTGACTACCTCGCCTGGTGTGCAGGAGGTCGTGGGTTCGATCCCGACCCTGACGCCTGCTGCTGCTGTATATTTGGAGTCTGCGTTTCTCTCTCTGATCATCATCACGGTGGCTATGAGATGTTGACTACCTCGCCTGGTGTGCAGGAGGTCGTGGGTTCGATCCCGACCCTGACGCCTGCTGCTGTATGTTTGGAGTTTGCGTCTCTCATCATCATCACGGTGGCTAGGAGATGTTGACTACCTCGCCTGGTGTGCAGGAGGTCGTGGGTTCGATCCCGACCCTGACGCCTGCTGCTGCTGTATATTTGGAGTCTGCGTCTCTCTCACTCTCTCTCATCACCATCATGGTGGCTAGGAGATGTTGACTACCTCTCCTGGTATACAGGAGGTCGTGGGTTCGATCCCGACCCTGACGCCTGCTGCTGTATATTTGGAGTCTGCGTTTCTCTCTCTGATCATCATCACGGTGGCTATGAGATGTTGACTACCTCGCCTGGTGTGCAGGAGGTCGTGGGTTCGATCCCGACCCTGACGCCTGCTGCTGTATATTTGGAGTTTGCGTCTCTCATCATCATCACGGTGGCTAGGAGATGTTGACTACCTCGCCTGGTGTGCAGGAGGTCGTGGGTTCGATCCCGACCCTGACGCCTGCTGCTGCTGTATATTTGGAGTCTGCGTCTCTCTCACTCTCTCTCATCACCATCATGGTGGCTAGGAGATGTTGACTACCTCTCCTGGTATACAGGAGGTCGTGGGTTCGATCCCGACCCTGACGCCTGCTGCTGTATATTTGGAGTCTGCGTTTCTCTCTCTGATCATCATCACGGTGGCTATGAGATGTTGACTACCTCGCCTGGTGTGCAGGAGGTCGTGGGTTCGATCCCGACCCTGACGCCTGCTGCTGTATATTTGGAGTTTGCGTCTCTCATCATCATCACGGTGGCTAGGAGATGTTGACTACCTCGCCTGGTGTGCAGGAGGTCGTGGGTTCGATCCCGACCCTGACGCCTGCTGCTGCTGTATATTTGGAGTCTGCGTCTCTCTCACTCTCTCTCATCACCATCATGGTGGCTAGGAGATGTTGACTACCTCTCCTGGTATACAGGAGGTCGTGGGTTCGATCCCGACCCTGACGCCTGCTGCTGTATATTTGGAGTCTGCGTTTCTCTCTCTGATCATCATCACGGTGGCTATGAGATGTTGACTACCTCGCCTGGTGTGCAGGAGGTCGTGGGTTCGATCCCGACCCTGACGCCTGCTGCTGTATATTTGGAGTTTGCGTCTCTCATCATCATCACGGTGGCTAGGAGATGTTGACTACCTCGCCTGGTGTGCAGGAGGTCGTGGGTTCGATCCCGACCCTGACGCCTGCTGCTGCTGTATATTTGGAGTCTGCGTCTCTCTCACTCTCTCTCATCACCATCATGGTGGCTAGGAGATGTTGACTACCTCTCCTGGTATACAGGAGGTCGTGGGTTCGATCCCGACCCTGACGCCTGCTGCTGTATATTTGGAGTCTGCGTTTCTCTCTCTGATCATCATCACGGTGGCTATGAGATGTTGACTACCTCGCCTGGTGTGCAGGAGGTCGTGGGTTCGATCCCGACCCTGACGCCTGCTGCTGTATATTTGGAGTTTGCGTCTCTCATCATCATCACGGTGGCTAGGAGATGTTGACTACCTCGCCTGGTGTGCAGGAGGTCGTGGGTTCGATCCCGACCCTGACGCCTGCTGCTGCTGTATATTTGGAGTCTGCGTCTCTCTCACTCTCTCTCATCACCATCATGGTGGCTAGGAGATGTTGACTACCTCTCCTGGTATACAGGAGGTCGTGGGTTCGATCCCGACCCTGACGCCTGCTGCTGTATATTTGGAGTCTGCGTTTCTCTCTCTGATCATCATCACGGTGGCTATGAGATGTTGACTACCTCGCCTGGTGTGCAGGAGGTCGTGGGTTCGATCCCGACCCTGACGCCTGCTGCTGTATATTTGGAGTTTGCGTCTCTCATCATCATCACGGTGGCTAGGAGATGTTGACTACCTCGCCTGGTGTGCAGGAGGTCGTGGGTTCGATCCCGACCCTGACGCCTGCTGCTGCTGTATATTTGGAGTCTGCGTCTCTCTCACTCTCTCTCATCACCATCATGGTGGCTAGGAGATGTTGACTACCTCTCCTGGTATACAGGAGGTCGTGGGTTCGATCCCGACCCTGACGCCTGCTGCTGTATATTTGGAGTCTGCGTTTCTCTCTCTGATCATCATCACGGTGGCTATGAGATGTTGACTACCTCGCCTGGTGTGCAGGAGGTCGTGGGTTCGATCCCGACCCTGACGCCTGCTGCTGTATATTTGGAGTTTGCGTCTCTCATCATCATCACGGTGGCTAGGAGATGTTGACTACCTCGCCTGGTGTGCAGGAGGTCGTGGGTTCGATCCCGACCCTGACGCCTGCTGCTGCTGTATATTTGGAGTCTGCGTCTCTCTCACTCTCTCTCATCACCATCATGGTGGCTAGGAGATGTTGACTACCTCTCCTGGTATACAGGAGGTCGTGGGTTCGATCCCGACCCTGACGCCTGCTGCTGTATATTTGGAGTCTGCGTTTCTCTCTCTGATCATCATCACGGTGGCTAGGAGATGTTGACTACCTCGCCTGGTGTGCAGGAGGTCGTGGGTTCGATCCCGACCCTGACGCCTGCTGCTGTATATTTGGAGTTTGCGTCTCTCATCATCATCACGGTGGCTAGGAGATGTTGACTACCTCGCCTGGTGTGCAGGAGGTCGTGGGTTCGAACCTGACGCCTGCTGCTGTATATTTGGAGTCTGCGTCTCTCTCATCATCATCACGGTGGCTAGGAGATGTTGACGACCTCTCCTGGTGTGCAGGAGGTCGTGGGTTCGATCCCGACCCTAACACCTGCTGCTTCTGTATATTTGGAGTTTGCGTCTCTTTCTCTCCCCGTGGTCGCGTGGATTTTTCTCCGGGTCCTCCTGGTTTATCCTCCACATTTAGAATCAACATCACGCATTTAGAGTATTTGTCTGCTGCTGTACATGTCCACGTGATGAGCCACTTCGTGGAGCTATTATTTGTGGCAGCCAGGCCGCTTCTGAAAGCTCAGTGGGGCCTTACCTGGTAAAATAAAAAAATAGTTGATCGTTTTTATAGTTTCACTCAGGCAACCGGAGAGCAGCAACAGACTCAGGTCTTTTTCCGTCTTAACTTGTCACTAAAACAACGAATAATTTTATATAAATATGCACACGTACTCTTAAGATGAATAATACAATTTATTTGTATCTTTTCCATCTAGCCAATGATTTTCCCATGCTTATGTGCGCCACTGTTCCGGTAACTCAAATCAGGCGATGATTTGAAACGCCGCTCAACAAAACTGATTTCCCAAAAGGGGAAACATCTTTGAATTTAAATGCAGTGCTCCGAGCGCCAGCTCAGAATCAGAATCTTTATTCCGACTTCAGGAGGAGGAATCCGATGAGCTATGAAGCTCTTTCACAGATGTCCAGCCGTGGGCACGGGGTTGCCTCTCTGGGTCCGGACCCAGTCCCCGAAAATGGGGCCAATGGGGATCGCACGGCAACATTTGGCGCCGCTGTGTTTTACAAAGTGCCTGGGCCGGTCCCAGTCCGTCGCTGCCTACAGTAGCCCCCGTGAGGGCACAAGTTGGTAACAGACACGTGGACGTCTGCGTCACGGGCGAGCAAAAGGGAAAGTGTCGACTCGCGACATTCCGCAGCTCCGCCGGTACCTACGGCGGCGTCGGTGACCACGCCAGGCCGAGACGGAAGTGGTTGGCGCGGCCGCGGTTTGGCGTGGCCACCGCGATTCCCTCGAGGACCGCGGCGCGGGGTGGCGGTGGCGCGGGGTGGTGGTGCGGGGTGGCGGGGGCGCGGGGTGGCGGTGGCGCGGGGTGGTGGTGGTGCGGGGTGGCCGTGGCACGGAGTGCGGGGTGGCGCAGGGTGGCGGTGGCGCGGGGTGCAGGGTGGCACGGGGTGGTGTTGGCGCGGGGTGGCAGTGGCGCGGGGTAGCGGTGGCGCGGAGTGCGGGGTGGCGCAGGGTGGCGGTGGCGCGGGGTGGCGGTGGCGCCTCTCTCAGGCCCCCGTGCCACTGTCGTCCTCCCTGTCTCTGGCTGCCTGCAGATCACGCAGCTCAAGATCGAGAACAACCCATTTGCCAAGGGCTTCCGTGGCGGGGATGAACTGGAGCTGCAGAGGGTGGCACGGTTACACAGGTAGCACGCGTGTGTGCGGGCGTGTGTCTTTCTGTTCAGCAGGAGAGTGCGAGTGTGGGCACAGGTGGTGCATCGGCCACTCGTCTCAGTCAGTCGACCCAGGCGCCTGGGTCTGCCCCGTGACCTCCTACCAGCGGGCGTTCGACACTTCACGTGGCCTTGACGTGCACCTAGCCTGGCACAGGCACGGTGGTGACGTCACTGCCACTTGGTGGCGAATGGCGGATGTTGTTTAGGTGAAAGTTGGCACAGGAAGGGGGCACAGGTGGTGCATCTACCAGTTATCTCGGTCAGTCCATCGCACCTGTGTCTGTCCCGTGACCTCCTGCCAGCGGGCCTTCGATACTTCAAACGTGGCCTCAAAGTGCACCTAGCCTGGCACGGCGTCGTGGTGAATGGGGGTTGTTGTGTGTTCAGGTGAGTTTGTGTGTGTTCAGGTGAGTTTGTGTGTGTTCAGGTGAGTTTGTGTGTGTGTTCAGGTGAGTTTGTGTGTGTTCCATTAGTGTGTGTGTGTGTTCAGGTGAGTTTGTGTGTTAAATTAGTGAGTGTGTGTGTTCAGGTGAGTTTGTGTGTTAAATTAGTGAGTGTGTGTGTTCAGTTGTGAGGAATGATAGTTCAACGGTTAGGGTGCTGCGCTACGAACCTGGCGACCCGGGTTCGATTCCCGCTCATGGCCACCAACACCAGTGACGATTATCCGAACCGCTTCTGGGCCTCCCCTAGGTCGAATCGGCCTCAAATGAGTACCTGGTGTGGTGTGTAAAACAACAAACATCATCACTGGGGAGACAAAGGCGGCCGGGCGTGGTGCTGGCCACCCACCCCCTTGTGTGCCGTGCCGGCCTATATAGACACTACTCGCTAACAGCACTTGCCCCAGCAGTCTGTTACAGGCTACACGGGGGATCTTTGTTTGTCTCGTGGTGAGCGGTGGCGCGGTGCTTAGCGCACTGCTAAGCACCACACCAAGGGAAACAAAGGCGGCCAGGCGCAGTGTCGGCCACTTCGTGTGTCATAGGTGCTGGCTCGCTCACAGCACTTGCCCCTGCAGTCTGTTGAAGGCTACACGGGTGTGGGGATCTTTGTCCGTGTCCGTTCACCCACAGCAAGGAGTGCCCGGTCCTCCCGCGCTCCGTGCTTCGGCCCGGGATACCCCGGGACCCCCTCGTCTCCCACGTCGTCAACTCGGGTTTCCATGGCGACGAGAGGACACTGGTCCCACCCATCGATGGAGGAGGCGGTGGGGTTTACTTCACGGAAGCGATCCCTAGAGGTGAGCGTTTGTGTTGCCGCTGGAATCGCGATTCAATCTCCCGGCGCGGCAGCTGAGGTTTAAACAACACCACCGGTGACGATTACCCGAACCGCTCCTGGGCCTCCTCCCCTAGGTCGACTTCGACCTCCAATGAGTACCCGGTGCGGTGTGTGAACATCGCCACTGGGGGAGACAAAGTGGGGCCGGGCGTGGTGCTGGCTACCCAACCCCCTCGTGTGCCACCGTGCCGGCCTTCGTAGGTGCTGCTACACGCTAACAGCACTTGCCCCAACAGCCTGTTAAGACTATGCGGGGATCTTTGTCTTTGTTGGAGTGGGGTAAAGTGTGGGTGCTCCCACCAACGTCCGAGATGTCTGGCCGGCGTGGAAGAGTAGCCCCCGATATACCATCCCTCGTTAGCGGACGCCCTTCCGCCAGCAGTGGCGTGGGCGGGTAGTTTCAGGGCTGCGCCTTTTTCACAACTTCACAATCGCGTTGCGGTGCCATGTCGAGCGAAATGTGACGACGACGACGACGACGATCATTCGCGATCGTCGCCGACACCCAGATCCCCGTCATCGCCAGCCTCCCTCGAGCGCCCCGTCCGCTTAAATAGCGAGCGACGCTCGGCCCACCGCTCCGCAGGTGACTGCACGTACCGGGCGGCCGGCGGCCGCAAGCGCGGGGGGCCTCAGCGCGGAGGAGGAAGCGGCGGCAACGGTAACGGGGGCCTTCCCGCGACGCCGGGCCACGGCGGCCTCCTCGGCCAGCACCCGGCGTGCTTCCCCTGCGAGCCGGTGCAGGCCCGCCACGCCTGCATGTACGCCACCGCCGCCGCCGCCGCCGCCGCCGCCGAGCTCGCGCCCGCCGTGGGCCCTCTCGCGCCGCCCGAGATGTCGGCCTACGTCCGAGAGGGCGACGACGGTGACCGCTCGCACGGGCGGCCTACGTCGGACGGCTTGTACGTGCTCTACGGGGGGGCGGGCGCCGCCGCCGCCGCCAGCGGCGCCGGCGGCGGCGGCGGCGGCGGCGTTGTCGGGGATGCCATGAACTCGGGCTGCAGGGGGTGGACGCCCGGCGGAGTCGGCGGGGAGAACGCCCAGTCGGCCGCCGCCGGTGGCCTCCACCACCCGGAGTGGATTCCGGTCGCGACCGGAACGCCGTGCGAGGCCGCGTACCGAGGCTGCGGCGTCGGCGTCGACGCCGTGCCGGCCTCCGTCTACCGCCGCTGGGACGCGGCCACCGCGGCCGCCGCGGCGTTCGCCCAGGCATGGGGCAACGGGGGCTCCGGTCCGGCCTGTGGCGGGCCGCAGCAGTACGGGCAGCAGCAGCAGCAGCAGCAGGCGGCGGGCGAAGGCCTCGCCTCGATGATGTTCCAGGATGACGAGCAGTGCCAAGGCCTTGGCCACGAGGCTTCGCCCTGGGCGGCGGGCCTCGTCGGTTCGCCGTTCGGGTCAGGCCTCCCGCTGGCGGCAGCGGCGCCCGGCCTGGGGTCTCCGCACGACGGCGCTGACGTGGGGTTGTTTCTGCAGCAGAATGCACGGAGTCTGAAATGACTGCGGCCCAAATCCTGAGTCAGGAGGCCTGGGAAAAAAACACGTCGTGTAGATTGTGCGCGTGTGTGTGTGTATACGTGCGTCTGTGTATATACTATAGGTGCTACTCGCTAACAGCACTTGTCCCCAGAAGTCTGTTAAGGCTATTACGGGGGTCCTTTGTCTTTATATATATTATAGAGATACCGAAGACGTGTGGAGTGGTGATTGTAGCGTTTAGCAAACTCACTGACCGCGCCGTGGACCCGGTTTGCCGGGGTCCAATACGTGGACAGGATGTCGTGGTTGTTGATATCTCATCGATACCCAGGGGAGGCCTCGCCTAGGCTGACTTTGCCTCACATAAGTAGGCCTGCTGCTACACCGTGCAGTGGCAATGCCGACTTACGCACGCATCGGGGTCTGTGTGGTGCTGGCCCCATCACTAACCGCTAACTCTGTGCTCACCAACCAGCGCTTGGCCAGACAAAAATGTAGGCTTTTTATTTTTACTTTTCATCTAAGGTGCCATCCTAAAGTTACGTGTGCATATACATGTATATGGTGTACAAATGAGATGGACATGGTTGGGCAAAAATGCCACAATTAAATGAATACTTGGCAAGTAAAGAATTATGTTTATTCACATTAGAGGGCGATCCATTTGCAAATACCTCATTGAAGTAATAGGGATACATTCCAGAAACCAATTTTGTTTTATTTCAAACCTTATGCACGTCTCACACTAATTACATATTTTAGGTCCCATGATGTAGCCGCTCGTAACCCGAGCTATAGATGCGCTGATACGTGCATTGTCTTTGTGCTGTTCGCCTTTTGGCGTTGTCCTCTGGTCTTACCCTCGTTGAGACTAGGCTCTAAAGAAAGCTGCCTCATCATATCCTACCGGAGCATGTTGCTTTGTTTGCGTGTTCACCACAAGTAGTGCGTGCGGTTAATGCAGACAGGATTCCTTACAGAAGGTTTCTGTTTGGTGTTTGAACATCTTAACACCTCCTGATTTATTTGCCAGAAATGGTAAAAAACCTATCCTTGTACATATTTAACCCTAATCTCCCCTCTGTAAGATATGAAGCCCCACCGCGCTCACTATTCGATCAACTCTTCTTTGGTTCTTTCGGTAAAGTCACGTAGAATGAGAATAAAATAATAAATTGATAAAATAAAATAACACAGCTTAAAGGTCGTGATCTGAGCGTGGCTTTTTCACTCCAGCGCTGTCCTACCAGACAGTCTCGTCCCTTCACCTGATGAAGGCCGCTTGTGTTGTGGCCGAAACGTCGTGAGAATATTATTGTGTTATTTTATTTTATCAATTTATTATTTTATTCTCATTCTACGTGACTTTACCGAAAGAACCAAAGAAGATGAATCCTTGCAGTCACGAAAGCTTTAAATCGAAATTCGATCAACTATTGAGCTGAAAGTAAGAGGGAAGATCGGGTGCCGTCCAGCCATCAATGGGGTATCTGTAAATGGGTCGCGCTCTCAAGTTTACAGCCAACGTCCAAGTAGCACATGCAGAGTTGAAACTCGAATAATAAAACAGTGCGTTATACAACATACGATAGTTTATACACACACTGTGCCACTCGATGTTTGTGTGTGTGTTGTGACCTATAACCAATTGATTCGTTTTATTATTGTTAACTGTAAATTCCTATTTATATGTAATAGTTAAATATAAGGGGGGGGGGGGGAGCGGGGAGTGATTTATTTTTTGGGGGGTATAAAATGGCAAGTGCCATGATTTTGCCGATTGTTTTTTTCAAGGCAAATATAAAATATAAACCGTGCGACAAGTCTCTGCAGCCAGGCGAGGCTTTGTATCCGTGTCCTTTATTTAACCATTCACGGATTGTGGCTACCGAAAACCCCTTCTACAAGCTCTGTTGTGAAGAATGGATCCAAATGTGTATCTTTGTGTGTGTAAGTCAGCAACGGAGGGTGCACCTCGCTTCAATTCACATCCGTGTAACAGGTAATAATTTAAAGTTGCTTTAATTTGAGCTTCTTGAAACTATTGTTGATTTTAACAAATAAGGTCCCCACAAAGCTGCTACGGAGCTGTTTCCTCAGAAGCGACCTGGCCCATCACAAATGAGAGCCGCTCGACAAAGTGGCGGTTTAACGATTGTTATTTATCAATGCAGAAATGTATAGTTGCAGCCAAATACTCTAAGACACGTGGTGATGTTAATTCTAAATGTGGAGGGGAACACCCGGAGGACCTGGAGACAAATCCGCGCGACAATGGGGAGAGAGACACGCAGACTCCACATATACGGCAGCAGGCGTCAGGAGCAGGATCGAGCCCACGACCTCCTGTATACCAGGCGAGGTAGTTAACATCTCTGGATCGAACCCACGACCTCCTGTCTACCAGGCGAGGTAGTTTTAACAGACCTTTCTAAACTCACCAATCCATAAGCAATGCGGTGGTTTTCCAAGAGTAACCAGCGAGCGGGAACAAATGAGCGACTGTTGATTTTCACTCTTTTATTCACCTGCAGTTACTTAGATAGCTCGGATTTAACCTCACAAAGTGGCCAATTTGGTTAAAAAAATATTGACATTGATTTATTCACAACCATGTTGGGTCAGGGCAAGGGGGGGCCTTACTATGGTTGAAACAAGTTACAGCCTTAGCCAGCCACTGGGCTAGAACAGCAGTGGCCCAGACACCACGCGCCACTGTTGATGGGCCCAGTGAGTTTGGGTCTCATCGGGCCTCCACTGATCCACCCAGTAAGAGCTGTTGACCCCCAACGATTAACCGGGACGGATTTAACAAACCCCTCTCTGGCAAAACAACAGGAGTTGTGTTCAGATGTTCAAACACCGAGTCGAAACTTTTTACATTAACCACACACACAGTACTTGCGGTGAACATGCAAACACACGTGGCTCTGATAGCATTTGATGCATTGTCTCTGAAACTGATTGGCCTACACCAGAGACAGCAGCCTTCTTCCGGGCCTAGTCTCACCAGTGTCTGAGCAGAGAACGCTAAAAGGCGAACGGTACAAAGACAATGCACGTATCAGAGCATTTACACCTCGGGGAGAGCAGCTATATTATGGGACACCTTTTTTATTTTTGATACTGTCAAAAAAAAGTCCCATCATAATTGGAACGAATAAAGTCTCCGTGCCTTCCACAGCAAGTCCCTCGTTTTTAACGCGCGAGTGGGAGTTTGTTGCGTTCCGGAAAGATGGCGCATTATAGTGGAAAAAAACGCGTTGAACGAAAACAATTTCCCCATAAGGAATGTAGTAGCGATGAAATATTTTTTTTTACGAAATACGACATGCTACTATTACTACGCACACGACGTGGTGAGGATACGCTGCCGCGGTCCTGTACCACTCCCTGGGCTGTGTCAGCCGAGCAGCTCAAGGAGGTAGTTCGTCTTCACCGTTGTAACGGTGCACCGCGTTCAGAGTTATAACAGTGCACGTTCCGCATTATAACGATTCGCGCGCTCCACGTTATGACGGTGTGCTTTCAGCGTTATAACGGGGGTGTGCACTCCACGTTGTGCGAAGAGTGTGTACCCTTATGGAAGAACCGCGTCACAGCGATAACGTGTCATAGCGTGAACAAACGCGCGTTAAGCGAGGACTTGCAGCATCGGTACAAGTTTTCGTGTGGATTCTTAGTGGGGTTTTTTTTTCCTATCAGCCATAGCGAACAAATGGTTGCAGTACTTTGATTAGGCCTGAGATCCACGCAACACATTTGGCGATCCACGTATTGGCCACTGCTGCTCGATAGACTACTGATGGGCAAAATGAGAATCGCGTTTGCCAGAGAGAAAGAGGGATTTATGTTAACCGAATGAGAGATGAGATGCTGATGCCACTGCGTATCCTAAGTTTGAATTCTAGTTCCGCACAACCTGTGATTCCTGGACGTCTGTGAGAAAGAGCCTCATGGCTCAGATTCCTCCTAAATAAACATTCTGATTATGTGATTAAACCGCCGCCTCAACAAGTGTATAAAATGTTTTTTCATATATACAGGGACTCCTCTACTTACGATCGAGTTAGGTTCCAGAGGTCTGTTCGTAAGTCGATTTGATCGTGAGTCTTTACTCCTGCCGATTTCAAACATGGTGTACGGTGTGTACACTAAACGCCGGGAATGGCATACACGTTGTATGTCCTGTAGATGTAGATGCCACTGGTTCTTCACGTTCTGCAGATGTAGATGCCACCACCGCCCTCCATTGCGCGGTGGTTGAACTTACAAATCGGTCCCAACAGGCAACTGGACATACGGACAGGTTTGTTCGTATCTCTGAAAGTTCGTAAGTCGAATGTTCGTAAGTAGAGGAGTCCCTTATATATTTCGACCGGGTCACCAATTACTGCGGAGAAAGTGTGTGTTTCACTTCACGTGACATATTCCAGCTGAACACGTAATAAACATTGCTTTCATTACGAAACTATGGACTCTATTTATAAAGCGTATGAAGTAGGGTTTGCCAAACTCCATTCGGCCCACCACCAACGTCACGTTCCGTCTCTGTACGATTCTACCAATTTACTCCACATCCAAGTACAAATGAACTCGTTCCACACTACACGCGTCCGATGGTTAAACACTTTCCACGTGGCGCGCGCTGAGACAATAACGCTGTCTGCGTTAGTGGAACGCGTGTACACACACACACACGTGTACACACACGGAATACGCGTACACTCACACAATTAGCACGTGTACACACACACACGTGTACACACACGGAATACGCGTACACTCACACAAGGAACACGTGTACACACAAGTAGCACGTGTACACACGCATGCACACTGAGATCTTCATTTAAAACGACTTGCTTAACGCAGGCAGCGTTATTACTCATCGTGTCACGTGGGGCGTGCTGAAGCACCATCACGCAAGTGCAGTGTGGGATTATTTTTTCATTTGAGTGGGGTTAAATTTCGATTTAAAGCTGTCGTGACTGCAAGGATTCACCTTCTTTGGTTCTTTC